ACATCCCACTTCCTATCTTCTCAATTAAGTAAAATGCATATTCTACTCTAGTGTTTCTTGAATCATGTTGCGTTTTAGCTTTCTTTGATGCATCGTCATTGCAAGCTGCGTTTTTTTTTCTCTATAACTTCCATCCTGCCTGCCTCCTGGCTCTGATTTGGTTAATGGATATGTTATATTGTTATATGTAGGTGTTTTTCTTGGAGTTTCTTCAAACACCAGGTTACAGATTGTGACCGGATTAGAACGTCTGGTGGAATCCTCTCCAATGGGAAAGCAGTTTCCGCCTGTTGCAATGGCATTCACAGTTGGTGTGCGATTTGCCAACAATATATATGCTGGAATGCAGTTTGTGGACTGGGCAAGGTGGAGTGGTGTGCAGTAACTGTATCTTTATGTTTCTTTTCTCTTTCGGACATTCTCAAGAGGATCATACGAGGTTCTTCACTCGAAATCAAAACCTTAGAGTTAGAGATGGAGGCGACTTATAACTAAGCCAACTAGTTTTGTCACTTGTTTGTGCTTCTAGCTCAATAATTCCATCTTTGTTGTATTCTAGTTGATGAAGTGAGTTTGGTTACATCAATAACAAAGGAAACATGTTTGCCCCTAAAGATATGTAATGTGTGAGCTTGAGACACGTCACGAGTTCGAACCCTACATTTAAGTGGGGAAGGATAGAAGGACGGGCCTATTATCGTTGAGTTTCTAATTATGAAGGAATCTAATTTTATGATTTTGAAATAAAGTTGAAAATAGCCCTCTTTAAATGACCTTTCAAACTAGTCATTCAACCTTTTCATGGGAATTAGTAATACTCATGTCTCATTATATGCGATATTCTTTTTAGTAGTGGAAAAATATTTCGAAATGTGCAATGATAATATACAAAGTGTGTAGTTTCATAAGTTAGGTCTGAATTAAATAGGATGGGTGTGTATGTGGCTTGGGGTGGACATGGTATGATAGATACTAAATATCATATCAAAATCAAAAAAATTGATATTATGATATTTGGGATGCATCTTTAAAAAGTTAGTTTTTTGGCAAATATATAAAATTAATCATTTAGATGTTGGAACTTTGATTGTATCTTGAAAGAAATGTTTTCTTTGAATGACTGATTAACAAAGATGATTGCTTGAATTTTGTTTTCCATATTTTCATATATGTAAGGTATAAGTATGATATAATTGAAATATTTCTTATTTTTTTCTAAAAAAAGATAACTATAATTTGGTTAACTTCAACTTACATAATAAATAATTATGATTTCGACATATACCGTATCATAAAATATCAAAATCAATTTTTAAAATATCAAATTATATTAAATTAATTTAATATAAATAATAATACAATATTATAAATATCGAAAACCTAAATTACCAAACCAAACTTTTGGTGTGAGTTTGTCAAAATTCTAAAGCATAATGAATAACGCTATTCAAGTCTCAACATTCTTCGTGAAAAGAAGAGCCAATTGTAACGAAAACACTTTTTCTAGTGATAATTGTTTCACCTTTTTTGAAATAATTTTGTTGATAATCTTCATACATTTGATTACAAAAAATAATTTATAATTATATAATGACTATAGAAATAGTTATACTCCCTTTGTTTCATTTCGTTTTTTAATTTGATTGAACATAGAATTTTTTTTAAAAAAAAATTAGAGAGATATCTTGATTTTGTAATATTAAAATTAAAGAGTGTATAAATCATAATATATTCAAAATAATTTTTGAATTTTCTGATCTAAAACATGTCTTGTAAATATTAAAAAATTAAAGAGAGGAACTTGTTTGAAAACAAAATGAAGAATTTCGAAACTTGAGCTCTTAACTATGTCATAATGTTTTTGTTAATATAAAAAAAAATAACTTTTAATCTTAACCATTTCAAAATATTTATATGACTATAAAAACTTTTCATAAAGTATAATTAATTACATTAAAACACAAAATTAATTACATTTTTTTAATAATACAAAATTAAAATTAGACAAATAAATTAAAACAGACAAAATAATACTTTAATAAAGAATGTGGAACTAATTATGTGCCATTTCCCAAAAAGTTTCATTAGAATATTCCATTCCTCCCAGTCCCTACCAATGAAAACATATTTCATCTTTATGCTCTGCTCCATTGGCCAAAGTTCAAGGCAAAACAAATTTCAATTATCAATTATAAAAAAAATTATTCGTATCAAATATTTATATTGAATTAAAATAAATTAATATAGTTAAATAATTTAATAAAGTAATTATATATCAATCTAATTATAATTAAATTAAAAAATATATATATTCAAACACACAACATATGTTTAATTTGATGTATATATTTGATGATACTGACAATTTTTATCGACCTACTGAGACTTAGATAAACTCTATATACTCTCAATCACGATCCTTATGATATCATACTAATAAGAGGTGAGTCCATGATTTAGAGTGATACACTACTTTATCACAAAGACGCACATAACCATAATATCCCTTTTGATAATGAATAAATATAAGTTAAACGAACCTAATTAACACAATGCTAGCGTAGAGGGACTAAGGGCACTCGCCAAATTAGTGCACCAAATCAAGTTGTGTTTTAAAGTGCACAAGCAAATATATAATCCTTATATATACGCAATTTTTTCAAAGTTAACGAGCACATATGCAACTCATTCTTCCAAGAGAGGGATCTAAATGTTGCTAAATGTTAATGACCACACTCCATATAAGACGTGAATTGCCATATAAGGACATCATATAAGACAAATGTATCTACTTATTCAACTTTTAAAGTATTTAAGTTCTACATGTGTACACTCAAACTTAAAAGATTTAAATAAGGAGAAACTGTCATCCCAGTCAATCCAATTGAGATGCCTTGGACTTGACATGTCACTTACATAAAGCTCAGAATTTGGGTGTAGTCAATACTCCAAATAAAAAGGGAATTGATCTATGGTTGATTTCGTAACAGATTAAATAAAGAGAAATTTTTATCTATACCTCGTAAAAAAAGCTTTTCATTTTGTGTAATGAATCATTTCTCTTTTTTTCGTGGAAAGAAATTATATTCAAGTAAGCAAATATGCCATGGTTCCTGGAGTCTATCTATCGCGTATAGACTTTAAGGGCGTAATAACCTAACCATCCAGGTGAAGTCGGGACCTAAACGATCAAATGAAATAATATATAGACAAGTAAATCTCTTATGGGTTCCAAAATATTCCTTTAATTATTAAGAGTTAAGAGATTTATATCAGTTGAGATTAAATTAAATACGTGGACATATGAGCTCACTGGTTTGTACACAACCTTCAATTCTTTTGCCCAATAGATCAATCCATTATTAAAAAATAAAAAATTTGATGACATCTCTTTTTGTACCACCTCAGCATTTCACCTTTGATTTTTTATTAAAGGGAGAGTAAAGATTCCTCCTTTCATCTGCAAAAGAATAGAAATGCAGAGTCTGCCTTAAAGGGAAACAATTTCTAGTAGAATTTAATCAGAATCCAGCTGTATTTCCCCTTTTCCTTCAAGCATCCTTTGACCAGACAAACTCCTCTCTGCATAATGACAAAATCAAAATTTTCACAAACATTTCAAATTTTTTGTAGTTTTTGTTTTATTGTTAGGTATTGTATTTTGATTATCATATTATTTTGTTGTTGTTAATGTTTCTTTATTTTTTATAGACTTTATACTGATTTTCTTAGTGACGGTTATGCTTTCTTTATTATTTTTCTTTTTCTTTTACTTGGGTTCGATGTGTGAGCTGAGGATCTCTCAGAAACTACATTTATACCTTCTTGAAATAGTGGTAAAAAGTCTATTGATACTCTATTTTTTTCAGACTTCACCTAATAAGATTTTATTGAGTATATTATTATTATATTCAAAGAGTTCAAAACATGAAAAGTAAATTAAAAAAAATTAAAGATATTTAATATATAAATAATATTATAATTTTATACTGAAAAGAATTTGAATGAACCTCTCAATTCTATCTATGTTTGTTGTCCCTGCCGCTACCTCCTATATAATCTAAAACCCCTTCTATACTAAAGGATAAAGTGAGATAAAATTAATATTGCATTTTGGTTGGCAGAAATTTATTTGGGATAACATATATTGTTAATTAAATGCAATATAAATTTTATCAGAGATTTAATCATTGGATATCTTGCTTTATCCTATTTAATTTGAGATTATTTTATGTTCGCATATCAAACGATCCTTGAAACTATTACTCCCTTCGTGTTAATCTGTTTGTCTATCTCTTATTTATTTTGTAATTTTTTAATTTTAACATTTTCTATCATATACGTAAAATTATAAAATTAAATATCATTTTATTATTTTTAATTTTTTATAACAAATTAAAATCAAACGAATAAATTGAAACGAAGGATGAAGTACTTTGGTCAAAGGTCAAAACCTGCATGTTTCTTAACAATCTGGAATCCTTTCAATTCTATCTCTGTCCACATAAAAATCTGGTCTTTTGTCATTCTCTGCTATTTATTTTACTCCTACATTAAAGTAGCAGTAAAAACAGAGCACGTATTTTCACTTAATTCATTCTTTTCCGCAACAAAACAAATTTATTTAAACGTAGTAACGATGAAGAATGATATAATCTATCCGATCATAGTATATAGTCAATATAATATATAACAATCATCCTAATCAATATCGCGGGATGAATGAAATTTCCTATTATTAACTATTTCTGCGATTTGAAACTCTTGATCTTAGAACATCAATTTTCCCTTTTAGAACGATGCGTATTTAAATTAGTCGAGCTAATTAGTTTCCAAAACAGGTAAACAATGTAACGGCTACTGCATCTGTTCCCGCTCTTTCCATTTTCCCTCTCTCTGTTTTTTCAGTCATAACTATTTCTTAATACAGTATAAATATACTGCTCTGCTCTGCATATTACCCATTCAAAAAAAAAACATCTTCATCTTCTTCATTTCTCTGCAATTTTCGATCCAAAAAAAATGCCGAAAGTCGATGCTCTCCGTCGATTTCTCCTCCCCTGTTTCAATTCAACACCCACATCTCCAGCACCACCGGCGCCGCACACAATCTCCACCAAAAAACGCCTGAGCACCTCACTGCGTGACGATCTCGACGACTCAAAACAAGAAAAGAAATTCGAAGAAGATCAAGAAGATTCATACCCAACAACCCCAATCAGCAATACAAACAGCACCAGCAGCGCCTCCGGCGCCGCAATTTCACTCTCAGCTCCACCGCGTTCTTCTAAAACAATGGTAATCGGAACAATCTTTGGCCAACGCCGCGGTGGACATGTATGGTTCTGCGTACAACACGATCGTCTCAACACGAAGCCTTCACTTCTTCTAGAACTTTCCATCCCAACCACAACCCTTATTCAAGAAATGCGATGTGGATTAGTCCGAATTGCTCTTGAATCATCGGATTCGGAGCTGAATCGTTGCCCGCTCCATTCAATTCCAATGTGGACTCTGTTCTGTAATGGGAGAAAAATCGGGTTTGCGGTTCGGAGACGGGCGACCCAACAGACCCGAATTATGTTGAAGACGATGCAGTCAATGACAGTCGGGGCGGGTGTAATTCCGTCGGGTTTGGTTTCGGGTACCGAATCTGAAGAGGTGTTGTATATGAGAGCTAACTATGAGTGTATTATTGGTGGTGCGGATTCGGAGTCTTTTCATTTGATTAACCCGGATGAAGGTCCGGGTCAAGAATTCAGTATCTTTTTGCTTCGATCTAAATAAAAATGTGAATCGCAGACGACTGACTTTTGAAAGACGAACGTGAATCGAAAATTAGAAAATTTTGAGTTTTCTGATTTTATATTTTTGGTCAAAAGGGGTACTAATAAAGAAGGCTAATTTTTTAATTATTCCTTTTTTAGTTCTTTATTTTTTCAAGATTAGCTTAATCTTTAGTTTAGGCCATTTTTTTTAGAACTTTTTGGTGCATGAGAATCTTTAGCACAAGAAATGTATGAAAAAAGTAGTATTTTTCTACCTTTTTTTTTTGGAAGTTTTGGCATATAGGATATTATATTCTTCTTGTATATGTTAATTCCAATATGATAGAAGAAATGAGTTCCTTCTTTTGCTACTTGTTGTTCTTTTTTATTATGAATATTATTGCAAGATAATTTATAATTAATCATATAGTATGGATTCCTCATAATTTGTTCAAAAAGATTATTTAATATATACTTAAGTGATCAGTATGATTCTGATTCAAGTATATGATTGATATCTTAAATTATCTTCAGATTTTGTGTGGTTGGGAATAATATAAATAATAGCATATTTATGGTATCATTAAAGTAGAAAGGTGAGGTTAGAATTTGAAAGAAGCTATACTAGGACAAATCTTCAAGGATCCCATGGTGTAGACATATCTTGTTGCATTCTAAATGTATATCAACAAAAACATTTGAACTATTCAAGGTGATAATAGGGTATCATCCCTCGAATCTCGTTATCACTTTAAAAAAATATAAGTTTTGAGTCAAATAAAAAAAAATTAATAAAAGATCGTAAAATTCAATCAGTGTTGATTTGCTATCTTATGCGTGTCAAATCAAAATCAGACACACCAATTAAATAAAAAGTATTGTTTGTAGACTAGAGTACCTTTAAACATGAGAATGCACATAGGATTAATGAGCATGACAACCTTGATCCTTGATCAATAGTGACGATTTGATCCTTAGGGTAGTTTGATAGAGTGTATAAAATAATGCTTATATTACCTTTGTGTATTAATAGTACTTTGCTTGGTTCATTTTTTTATGCTACGTATGTATAACTAGTGCAAGCATTAGTTGCACACTCTTTTGTGTATTGAAAAAGTATATTATTACTATCATGGATTTCTAGGTATTAGTAATGCAAATGATTTAATATTTGTATTAGCATGGTTAAAGACCAAATTACCCCTCAAAAGCACTTTTACATCTTTTCCACCATAATTATAGAGGATACTTTTGTAAACAAATATTTTTATACAATATACTTTTTTTTAATACACCAAATCAAACCAATGTGGACTATGTTCTGTAATGAGAGAAAAATCGGGTTTGCGGTTCGGAGAGGGCGACCCAACAAACCCGAATTATGTTGAAGACGATGCAGTCAATGACAGTCGGGGCGGGTGTAATTCCGTCGGGTTTGGTTTCGGGTACCGAATCTGAAGAAGTGTTGTATATGAGAGCTAACTATGAGTGTATTATTGGTGGTGCGGATTCGGAGTCTTTTCATTTGATTAACCCGGATGAAGGTCCGGGTCAAGAATTCAGTATATTTTTGCTTCGATCCAAATAAGGATGTAAACCGTAGACGACTGACTTTGAAAGAGAAAATTAGAAAATTTCGAGTTTTCTGTTTTGGTCAAAAGGGGTTCTAAGGTTTAATTATTCCTTTTTCGTTCTTTATTTTTTCAAGATTAGCTTAATCTTTAGTTTAGGCCATTTTTTTTAGAACTTTTTGGTGCATGAGAATCTTTAGCACAAGAAATGTATGAAAAAAGTAGTATTTTTCTACCTTTTTTTTTTTAGAAGTTTTGGCATATAGGTTATTATATTCTTCTTGTATGATGTTAATTCCAATATGATAGAAGAAATGAGTTCCTTCGCTTGCTATTTCTTGTTCTTTTTTATTATGACTATTATTGCAAGATAATTTATAAGTAAACATATAGTATGGATTCCTCATAATTTGTTCAAAAAGATTATTTAATATATACTTAGGTGATCAGTCTGATTCTGATTCAAGTATATGATTGATATCTTCAATTATCTTCAGATTTTGTGTGGTAGGGAATAATATAAATAATAGCATATTTATGGTATCATTAAAGTAGAAAGGTGAGGTTAGAATTTGAAAGAAGCTATACTAGGACAAATCTTCCAGGATCCCATGGTGTAGGCATGTTTTGTTGCATTCTAAATGTATATCAACAAAAATATTTGAACTATTCAAGGTGATAATAGGGTATCATCCCTCGAATCTCGATGTCACTTAAAAAAAATATAAGTTTTGAGTCAAATAAAAAAAAATTAATAAAAGATCGTAAAATTCAATCAGTGTTGATTTGCTATCTTATGCGTGTCAAATCAAAATCAGACACACCAATTAAATAAAAAGTATTGTTTGTAGACTAGAGTACCTTTAAACATGAGAATGCACATAGGATTAATGAGCATGACAACCTTGATCCTTGATCAATAGTGACGATTTGATCCTTAGGGTAGTTTGATAGAGTGTATAAAATAATGCTTATATTACCTTTGTGTATTAATAGTACTTTGCTTGGTTCATTTTTTTATGCTACGTATGTATAACTAGTGCAAGCATTAGTTGCACACTCTTTTGTGTATTGAAAAGTATATTATTACTACCATGGATTTATAGGTATTAGTAATGCAAATGATTTAATATTTGTATTAGCATGGTTAAAGACCAAATTACCCCTCAAAAGCACTTTTACATCTTTTCCACCATAATTGTAGAGGATACTTTTGTAAACAAATATTTTTATACAATATATTACTCCCTCCGTTTCACAAAGAATGACCTGGTTTGACTTGACACGGAGTTTAAGAAAATAAAGAAGACTTTTGAATCTTGTGGTCTTAAATTAAAGCTGTGTCAAATGTACAAAATTGTCCTTTAATTTTGTGGCCTTAAATATGCCACGTGGAAAGCTAAAATTAAAATGTTTCCAAAAAGGGAAAGAGGTCATTCTTTTTGAAACAGATTAAAAAGGAAAGGAGGTCACTCTTTTTGAAACGGAGGAAGTATTTTTTTAATACACCGAATCAAATAATATATAAAAAAATATTTTGTGTATAGCTAATACAAATATAACCAATACAAATATTAGTAATACACTTTATTTAACATTATTTTTATATATTCTACCAAACCAATGTTTCGTAGTTTTCTTTTGACCTGAAGACTGGGGAATCTTGAAATGAGCTTTTTTTGCTATTAAGTGGCTGCCTTCCATGTGTCACTTTCCTGTTTGGTTAACTTGAGTTGTGTACTGTACTGGTCCCTTCTTGTGGTGCCACTTCTTATCTTAATTAGAACCATTCCAAATTTTGATTGCTCTTTTTAACTATTCTACCTCATCTTCAATATATAGTTGACCATTTCCATCAAGTCACAATTACTCAATTATTAGCTTTGAAACACACTAAACATACTGCCAACTTTCTACTCTTTCATCATAATACAAAGAGAATCAAACTTTAGTTCTCAAATATAGTTATATGTGAAGTTGTCTTCTTTTTGCTTTTAAAGAGTTTGAGAAGAGAGTCTCTTTGAGTCTTCGACTTTAAAGAATTGTTCGAAACACAAATGATAATATTATCACCTTTATTGTCCATCATTATCAATTAACACTATCCACAACCATCATCCTTAGCCGTAACATTGTTGACGTCAATTGTCATAATGTTATTGTTATCGTTAGTCACTATGTACAATCATTATCATAACAATTACTATCCGTCACGCTTATATATATCGTCAATGAATCCTATCATATGAGTATCCATCATTGTTACTTATTACTATCGTCCATCACAATTATCAATTGTCATCACCAACTACCATTACCACTACTATTACATCATTGCTACCCCCAGTACTATATTATTATCTTAGAATATTTAGTTGATAGAGTACTAGATTAATCAAAACTGATTGGATTTTATATTAAAATTCTAAGTCAATACAATACGTTCCGATATTGAAAAAACAAAATGTCTTATTTAGTATAAAATATGTTAATATTCAAATATGTACTTAAATTTCAACGTCGCAATCTTAATACATATTTTAATAAAAACAAATGGCATGGGTTTCCATAAGTACTTTTATAAACCTTAGCTTAGAGTTAATATAAGTTGTAAATAAATGGAATCTCATAATTTTTTAAGCTTTGGAAGCATCTTGGGGGAATCACATTTTTTTCAGAAAATAGGACATGTTCGTTTTGATTTTATGAAGAATAGTAAAAGGACTTTATGTTTAAACTAATTAATTAAACATTTGGAAAAAGTATTTTGTAATTAATTATATACTTGTCTAATCTAAGGATATATAAAGCAAAGCATCCAAATATGTATCACCGAAAGGATCGTAATAAGAATCAATAATATTTGTTCTTAGTGTTAAAGTGGACAGAAAGAATATGCCAGAGTTAGAAGCTTCGATGGTCATTCGATTTTGAGTAGTTAATTATTATAGATAATTAATTTTATTTTATTATGAAAAAGTCATTCAACTTTGTTATTTTAATATTTAAGGGTCATTAATCTTAAGAATATTATTTTTAATATCTATTTAGTGACTTCACAATTATAATTTTTTAGAAAAAAAATAAAATTAATATTTAATTATTGGATTCTCAATCTATTTTTTTTTTTGTTCTTGTTATTCTTCATTAATCAATTTAATAAGGTGTTGTTTTGACTATGAATATATTTTATGAGATATATTTAAATTTATTCTTCCCTTTTCCAATGCAAATATCAGGCTTTTCATCGAAAAATACTCATATAAAAAAACTTCTATAGTTCAATCATTATTATCCCTAGTTATCAACCATTGTTAGTGATTATTATCTCCAATTAATTTCTCTATTATTATAAAAAGTTAAATCATCTCAATTCTCACCAACTATGATATACACTCTCTCTGTTGATAATGAACTATATATAGACAAATATATCAGTTGTCAACCA